CAAGAGACTTGATCATCTATGAAAATATGGCGAGAATACCTAGAAGAGCTAAGAAAACGAGCTCAACGCAAACACCGAAGGCCTCGCAGCCGTATTCGACGAGAACCCGAAATTGAGCTGGTGTTGTTGAAAGGAGACTGTCCCAGAAATACCTGGAGAATAGGAAGAATCGACAGACTCATAAGGCCAAAGATGGTATATGTCATCGACGGTTGTAAGAATAACGGAAAAGAGCTAGTGAGAGCAGTGGGACACCTCTATTCTTTGGAGGTTTCCAACCGATGATAAGGTGCAGACCACGTTCGCCTCGGGAGTGTCGCTGATATCGCGAGTAGAAACAAAGGGACGATAATCCCCCTTTTTTTGAAAGCCAAACATCTTTGTTTTATATGCTCATATCGTCTTACATTTGCTACAACAAAAAACCCAACATTGATGGGTGCTCCATAAGGATGCTAATTCTTGTAATCATAAAACGGTACAAGGACCCTCCCAATCGAAGAAGCGGAGGATTATTAATTTGTTGTATCAATGTCATATTTGCAAGTTCGTTGTTGTATTAATAAATTTATCGTAATAAAAGGTTTAATTACCCAAGTTCGAGGCAGTATCAACTAAAGAGGCAGAAAGAACCCTCAGTTTTTGTCACGACTGAAGAAAATCGGCGACAAAAGACGATAAGAATATTAGGCACTAATAATTCCATAATTTTGTTACATATTACAAAGAATTATACGAATTTTGCTAATGATATCAATACTTTTGAATAGCTAAAATGCATTTCTTATTTTAGTTAAGCATTTCCTATTTCCATCAAATGATTGAGTAATTTTTCAACTGTTCATCAACTAAACTACAATATCAGTGTCACCTAATTCAGTGAATATATATATCATTTACCCAGATAATAGCCAAAGATCTTACCTTCTAGTTTAGCACTAAATATCCAAAGCATGCAGAAGGTTAAAAGATAAATTCTATCACATAATATCTGTCAGCATAATTAGATAGATCATTTCATAAATACTTATCTAATCTGTTTGATAATTTTGCCCAATTATTTAATTCTGTAGCAAAATATTTGTATTTGTATGAAAGTTTGAGAATATTTTTTATCAGTCAGAAAATGATAAGAAAAAATTACTAAAATTTCATTTCTTCAAAAATTTAAAAGGAATAATTGTGTCGTATTTTTTTCACTTTGTAATTAGCTATTAATATTTACATTCCGGATAAATTTTAATAGTAATAAAATTAAAGTTCATACTTATTTCAACGATGAAAACTATGAACAACTGTTAGAGAAAAATAAAATAAAAAAAAAAAACGTACGGCAATGATTATAGACTTCCTCTGCCAATACATTACAACATTTCAGATTTCAGTAGCAACGAGAATGCATCATATCAACCTTTCGTAAATATTTCTTTTAATAATCCTAGTAAACATTTTTATGTGTAAAAAAAATTTTTTTTTATTAAATAAAATATCAAAACAAGTATTTGTTGATAGATTTATTTCATTTACAATAATAACATTTATATAAAGAATAATTGTTTCAAATATTTTATTTAAAAAAAGAAAAATTTATAACAGTACAAAACTATTTGTTCTATTTTTTATTGCATTTTTATCCTGCTTTTTTAGAACATTTTGATAACCTTTTAAAATATTTTTAAAATAATTTTAATGATTTCAAATTCATATAAAATAAGAACTCAATAATATTGTTGAATTTTCTTTTTAATATTATGGATGCAAATTTTTTTTTGTTCATAGAACATTTCAATAACCTTTTAAAGTAATTTTTAATGATTTCAAATTCGTATAAGCTAAGAATTCAATAATATTGTTTGTTTTTTTTTTTTTTTAATATTATGAATGAAAATTTTTTTTTTGTTCTTATTGTTTGTCAAACAAACATACTTATTGTTTGTTTTTTTTAGATCGAACAATTTTATTCAATTAATTTACAATTGATTGATTAAAATGTTGGAGTGAACGGAAAGAGGAAGAAGAAAAAAGAAAGAAATGGCACTTCCACTGCTATCTATTTTCTTCAATGCATCATATTTCATTTGGTTCATTATCTTTCGTTTAGAAACTATCATTTTGATTGGTAAGGGCCTATTTTTTCTGCTTGTTAAAATTAAATTAATTTGTGAGATAATTAAAATTTATGTGAAATTTTATACGAGTAATTTGATCCTGAATGTAGTATGTGTTAAAAAGTAATGATTAGGTGTATAGTAAATAAAATGTGATAAAACATTGTTTATGATAAGTGCAAACGGATCATGTGATACTATAATGAAATAAACATGCTAATTAAATGATCCGAATAATTAATGCTTATCACCTCGAAAAAAAGTTATCAAAAAAAATTATTAAAATTCAATCATTGCTTATTAACAAAATTCAATCGATTATCATTTGTCATATTTAGAAGGCTGATAACATGGTATTATATCGGATAACATGGAGATAGTTTAGCTGTAGCAAAAAATTAAAATTGTTTTTGAAAAATTGCTAAAACCAATGAAAAGAAAAACAATTTTTGCGTAAATATGACGAAAAAAAACTATTTTATATAAATAAAATCTTTTATAAATAACCGAAAATAACAAATAATATAAAACGAATATATAATAATTTATATAAAATGAATATATACACAGATATATGATAACATATAATTCTCAGGGAAAAAATAATATTATAGTCTTGATGTTTTATTCGTTATCACTTAATCGCTTTAGTTTACTAGAAATAAAAAGAAAAGATAGTTGTTAACCTATCGGAATATTTCTTCCTTCACAACATATATCAAATAGTATCAATAAAAAATAAAGCTATTTAATTTTAATTCATGATTTTTAAGACAGATTTAAAATTTAAAAAATTTAATTGATTTTATTTTAGGAGGAACTGGAATAATTTTATTGTATACAAAATGGTTGATAAGACATTATTATTTGTTGATACGAGGAAAAAATTTGGAACCTTTTACGTTAATTAAACGAAATAATCATTATCCATTAAAATTGGTTGAATTTGGCCTCACAGATATACCACAATATCGTATGTTAATATTAATTTCTTATATATCACAGTATCGTAAGTTAATTTCAAATTTCTATTTTTCTCTTTGATATACTATAATATCGTATATTAAGCTTAAGTTAGTTTAATATGTTAAAGAATTAACAAATGCATTAATAAGGAAGTAAAACTGTGTTCAAATTAAAATAGGATTTGTTTTATAATTAATAACAGATTTTATTTATTATAAAAATTGGGAAGTGATTAATAAATGAGACAAAATTATGGAAATATTTATTGAGGAAAAATTTTGCATATTTATAATTTGTTGTAATACCGCTGCATTGATAGTAATTTTCATTGATAGTAACTTATACGATATGGTGCAATACCGTACTGAGACAATGATAGGGATGAAATGAACAATATGCAGTAAGTATAAAAGGATACTGTCCTGTTGTTCGTGCTGCTCAATTGTCGAATTACCGCCTTTGAAGCATTGTTGAGAATATATGCCTCTGGCTATTCTATCGTCTTGAGTGCTTACGTAAGCTGTTCGATTGAATGACTGAGTGAGCTATCGGATTGCGTAACTGCGGGAGCTGTTAGATTGAGTGACTGCGGCAGTTGTCGGATTCCGTAACCGCGGAAGTTGTCGGATTGAGTGACTGCTCGAGTTTTTTTGGATTTGGTAACTGATCGCTAGAATGATTGATCCGGTAACTGATCGCTAGAATGGTTAATCCTAGCTTCCTATATGATGGAATTTGGTTTAACATTTCAGACATATTAGCTTAATTAGTCAGACTAGAGGTTCTTTACAGGATTGACATTCCAACAATTGTACGTAAGCTTAATTAACAGATTGAAAAAAAATTACAACAAAGACATTTGTCTGCACCTTTTAAGCATTCCAATTAAAATTCTTTAAGAAATTGGAAAAATTAAATTTCCATAAATGATTCGTCACTTTAAGTATTAAAATATTTATTTAATTAATTTTATGCAATGAATCATTTATCTGCGAAATATTTTAAATTCTAATTAAAACAATTTGTTAAAATTTTTTCGATTTCGTTGACAACATTGATATATTTAATATTATTAGTTTGGAAAAAAAAAATACTTTCAATAAAAAAAAAAAATTAACGAATAAAAGAAAGAAAGTTTAGCTGGTGGTAATTGGCATTTAAAACATAACAAGTGGACATTTTATGCAAGTCAAGGTAATCGACCATATATGGAAGATCGAATGCATTATCTTAATGATCCATATCATAATCTTACAATATTCAGTATTTTTGATGGACATGGTGGAACGGTAAATTTATATTTTGATATTACAATAAGATAAAAACAAAAACTTTACAATTGATAATATATTTACTGAATTTATTAGCAATATTATACTGTATGCAACAATATGCTCTGTCGTACAATCTTTGTTACATCTCAGAATTCCCGGGAAATTTTCGGTATATGAAGGGAAAAATCTCTAATATATGCAAAATTCTGTACATACATACACACACACACACATTATATATATATATATATATATATATATA